ATCGAGACCCTCTGTGGAGCGGTCTTAGGGTAAGAACATTCTGACAGTACTGCTTTGATAATCTTAGCACATGGGCAGTGAGAGTCTGTTTCTCGAGTATTCCTCTTTCGAGATCTGTTTGTACCCCCAGCCCGATAGTACAACTCATCAGTATAATTACCAGAGCAACATATCGTGTGTTAGCACGACTTCCCAAGTATAACGTCGTCGTCGTCAGACGAAAACGTTTCCTTTTGGGGGTTCGACCTTGTTAGCGCTCTCAAGAGTCGCATGTTTTGAGCTACGCATTCGTGAGCGTGGAACCTCAACGGGCTCTCGGACTTCGACACGCAGTCTGAGGCGGTCGGTTATGGGAGTTTCCTCTTTACGACAAGGCTCAGACTTGTTGTAAGGGCAAGTGCGACCCCCAACTCGATGAGTTGCTCAGGGTTCAATCACCGGACCCAAGTGCTCTTTGATCGAAACTTTGGCTCGATCCTTGTGCAAATAACCCAGATGATCCATCATTGCTTTCTTTCCTCTGGATGAGTTCACACTGCCGCGTGGCTTCACTAGAAGTATCGGATCAATCAGCACAGGGGCGGAACTCGACGGAATCAAAAAAACGCCGCGGCTGGGCGGGTCACCTGGGTGTGTCCCGTATTTTTTGATTTTTTCGGCCGCCGTCTTGGACTTTTGTCTCCATACTTGGTGCAGTCTTGATGACTTCTTAGCTATGTCCTTCTTCTGCATCTTTTGTGCGTTTTGCACAAGAATTCGCGACCCGCGGCTGGGCGGGTCACCTGGGTGTGTCCCGTATTTTTTGATTTTTTCGGCCGCCGTCTTGGACTTTTGTCTCCATACTTGGTGCAGTCTTGATGACTTCTTAGCTATGTCCTTCTTCTGCATCTTTTGTGCGTTTTGCACAAGAATTCGCGCGTGCGCAAGCAGTACGCGACATTTCTGAATGCGTTCTTCAAGGGTTGAACGAGTCCTTTTGACTTGGATCCATTCATTTGTTGAGAACTTGGAGGGTTGCTCATTCGTCCGCTGTTGGGGCGCTCGATGCTCCTTGAATTTCAGATTCGCTTCGTAATAGATCCCGTCTACAGGCTCCAAAGCCTTGGCGAATTAGCACGCGAGGCGTTGGCGCTGTCTTTGGCGAGCTCTCTTTGATAAAGTGGGCGCGCCTCTAGCGGCTATCTCCTTGATTGGGGAGGAGTCCAGATTTGTAGATCCGGCCTCGTGCAGCAACAACTGGGACGTTGATCTTCCTACGCTTGCGAAGAACGGAGAATCTGGAGGAGGAGGACGACAGATATTCCTCAAACTTCTATTGGTCTAACTCGTACTCGACATCTTCATCAACCGGGATCCGGATCCGAGGTTGCGACACGACAGTCTCCGCAGCGAGACTGTTGGCTCCCACTGTGGTCGCCAGCATGTTTGCGTTAGAAATTGTTTTCTTCATTGTGGTTAAATCTATTACAACTTCAGGCGTTACAACAAACTCAACAAAAAGTTAGTCTTTTTATATGACTTTTACACAATGGAAATAACTGATTACAATCTCTTTCAAACTCAACAAAAAGTTAGTCTTTTTATATGACTTTTACACAATGGAAATAACTGATTACAATCTCTTTCAAACAACACACAGATCCTATTTATTAGTCTACTTTTACACAATGGAAATAACTGATTACAATCTCTTTCAAACAACACACAGATCCTATTTATTAGTCTTTGTTTGCATGGGATCTTTACCTGTACCGGGGACGTTGATATCCGTAGACCGCCTACAGATCGGATCCGGTTAACAGAATGATTAATCAGAGCTCCTACTTTACTAAGGAAATATTCGCTGAAGTACTGATATCGACCAAGCGAAATCAGTACTCTTCTCGAGATTAAGACCAAGACTAATCTCAAGGAAAGGTGGAAACGGGCCTCAGATCCTTCGAAAGTCTTCTTTTTTATGCCGAAGTTCGTCGGGATCTCGCTAGCCCTTGCTGAAATTTGTGGCTCTTGGCTCTGAAGTTCGGCAGCACCTCCTCGTCTTGATAATAATTCACCTCTTGAGAATGGGGGCCCTAGGCTTGTATTTATAGGGCGCGGGAAATTTGACCTTGGCTAAACTCTTTGGCACTTTGCGATTTTCCGGGACTTGTATTTTCTACCGTTTTACGTATCTGGTCGTCCTATTGACTTGTATGCTTCGTTAACTTGCTTCATGCGCTCGTTAGCTTCTTTACGGCACTTGGAGCTGAACTTCAAGCGCGGCGGGCACTTGGAGCTGACCAACAAGCGCGGCGGGTCACCCGGGTAATCTTTCTTAACTCGGATGATGACGTTCATCGTCTTCTCTTCGTCTCAAGCTGCGTGCGGACATCTACAGGCATTTTTAGACGCCTACACGCACATATGCAATCGGTCGACCGGATAGAGACACAAATTTCACCCTGTAATTGTGCGCGGGATCGGTCGACCGGTCACACCCCATCAGTCGACCGACCCGAATTCCTGTAGAACCCAGTTTTCTGTCTATTGCGTCGGTCGACCGGCCTTGCTCCTTCGATCGACCAACCCAAGGGTTACTATAGTTGTTTCAATTCTTCAGTTTTCCTGATTTTCGCCGCGTTTTCTACAGAGTTCATATTGTGACTCATACAATGTATTGTGCTATATCAAGTTTTTGGATATAGATTTTCAAGTGTTTTTTGAAACTGACAAGTCAGACCAAAAGGCCACCATACCTATTGCCAATTTTTCAAGAATATTTGTACATCTACTTTAACAACATCAACCTTCTGTGACAAGAGATAACAATATAGCTAATCATAAACTTCATATGCCTTCTTAGAACGGATAATAGCAACGCCACACATGTCAATGGCATCCATCGCTCCATTTCTAGATTGAGGAAGGTTTCTCAAGGTAATGGAGATCCGAGTTATATTTCTTAATTTTTGGTGCATTCAGGTGAACTCTTCCACAATATCCCATAAGAGCATGCCGAACATAGACAGATAAACCTGAAGAACCATTGGTTCTATTTTCTCTTTGGTGCAATCTAGCCTCTCTCCGCATCTATCAATTGAATGTGAAATGACCAAGAGAAGAAACATGGATTTTTATAAGACAAGAAAGGAAAGTAAAATAAACAACCTACAGAGAACCTTCAATAATTGGTTCACATTCTTTCTATAACTCATATCTACATATTGCCAATCATCATCTACTATCAGTTATAATCTTGATAATGGTGGATGCCTTCTGATCATAACTAAATACACAGAGATGATAAGGATGAGTATTTACCTTAAAAGTGGCAACAAGTGAAATAATAGAAAGGTATATAGACCTATCACCACTTTAGACCATCTTCAATTCCTTGAGGATTTACGTCAAAATAGAAGTCATCCCAGGCGAAAATCAACCTATCATTTCAGCCATCTGCTTCAATAAAACAATACATATGACAGAATGTTTAACTCAATGAATTTTTTTAATAAAAAGCATTATTATTACATGTGAAATGTATAAAGATGTTTAGCTTTCATAAAAGGAGAGGAACGCTCGCCATTGGATTATCTACTTCCCTTCTTTTCACAAGGTGAACACTCACCGTTTCGTTCTTCCAATATTCTGTGTAATTCATGATGTGAAAAAAAAAACAATACATAAATGACAGTTAACATAAAATTTAAAAAAAAAATGTAGGGCCAAAGTGGGGTTACTTATATAGCTTCTGAGAACACAGACGGTTTTACAGTTGTGTGACTCAATACAATATTTTGCTACTGCTCTCTCATTCTATATTTGGATACACTCTCAAAAACACCATGAAATTTCAACTTGAAACAACAAATATCTAATGAATTCTTCAGTGAAACACCAATAAGACATAAACATAGTCTCCATACCAATCAAGCGTTGTACAGACATCTAAATGGGGACAATAAATTTCTTATACTAATTTGTTTGATTATTTCATTTTTTAAACTCATGGCACAAACCCAAAAAAAAAAAAAACTCAAGACGATATCCTCTAGCAGAAAACTATATTGTAAAGGAAACACAATATAGGTGCAAGTTTATCAATCATCAAAAACTAAAAAAACCTGAACCTAAAGAAGCAACCAATGATTTCTAAGCCAAAAAAAAAAGGATTTTTTTTTAAACACAACCATGCAAATCAATAAAAAGATAAAGTTGATATATTAATCAAATCAATTTGACACTGAAGAGGAGAAATTATTTTTATCATTAAAAGAAGAGAGAATCAAATTCACGCAATAGAAATTATTTTTTATCATTAAAAGAAGAGAGAATCAAAGTCACATAATAGAAATCAACCTCAACAAAAGCGGTGAAATTTGATCTGAACATCCATCCAATTGAGTAAGGCCATACACTCCCTCACCCTCCCTCACTGAGGGAACACGCGAGAGGGAGACCTAACCCGACTGCAAGGACGAAAGAGAAATGAACGAACCGAAAAATCAGCTCTTCCTCATCCCATTACGGCAGATAAAAAGGGTAAGAACGGAATGAGCAAAGCTGTGATTTCATATACAAACTCCCCTAAATACCGTCAAACCCACGAAATGGAGTTAAGAACCAAGGGGGTAAAAGAGGAAATAATAGATGCACTGGAAATGATGGGGGCATACTTCTCCCCAAAATACCTCAACCCCCCAGTTCATAGTAAAGAGGTAAAACTGAACAAAGAATTATATGAGCAGTGCTAGAAACGGCTGATCCAGCTTTTAAACAAGAGTTTTTATGAGGTGGATTATGGGAGATGCATCACAACATATGCAGTTCCCATTACTAAAATGAAAACAATCACATTGAAGACAAAGAAAATTCCGAAGAAGAGAACTCTTAAAAATACAACATAGACTCTAGTTGTTATGCCAATACAAGGAACTACTCAAAGGAAACATTCCAAGGGTCAATAGCGCAAGACAATTAGTATACAAATGAAAAATCAATTCTCAACGGTATATGCAAAATACACGCGGAAAAGACTTGTATGCTTTATAAAAAAATTATTGGGGTGAACGGTTTAGCATCCAACTAATATCTGCAGATAGCATAGCTAGAAACAAATACAACAACCGAGCAGTTGAGAGCTTTGGTTCCATGGCTCACTGCAAGAATGGTGATAACTCAATTTAAAATTAGCAGAAGAACAAAAACAGCTTTCAACCATCAGTTATATCCTCTTCATAAAGGATATCCTCAGCACCTGCAGATTCCTGCCATCGAACAATCATGTTAGGATCAAAATCTCGTTCATTCATTCATTCATTCATTCAAGAACAAGGCCTTTGAAAGTGATCTGTATGCATTATCATCAAAACTTGAAATCTCCAAGTGCCTGCCTTCATCCTTTTGCATATGTAAATGTTGTTTCCGAGACATAGGAGTTTCGCACACTACTTCAGTTTTGTTCCTCTCCCTTTTCATCTTCTTACACTTGGAGCTGGGGAGATAATCAAGTGCAGGTTTTTCCATCCCTGGATGCTTGAGGGCCCAAACCCTATGCAAATCTGGAACCCAGCTTGTGAAAGATGACAACCTCCGAGCTCTGTCTCTTTGTTTATGGGCTTTCATTAGCCTTCGATCATGTAGATTATCAGCTTCAGGTTGCAATTCTTTTGCATCATTTGCATGCAGGTAGACATTATTTTGACTGCTGGAAGCTATGGTCATTGGTTCAAATGTATCTTTAGGGGTGTTATTACTTTCATTCTCATCCCTTTTTGCTTCTTCACTGTTGCTAACAAGTAATGACTCTGATGCTTCCAGTTCATTATCATCAAATGAGAAAAATTCCATCTGCTCATAGATCTTGTGAATAACATCTCCCAGAGAACGAGCATACCTGTAAGAGTAGCCAGCTTCAACAATTGTAATAATCTAATTTCATTTCTTTTCCCTAAAAACCTCTTTGTCAATTCAGATACTGCATGCAGCAGACTAATGTGACCAAGTGTATTATTACACAATATATAGAAGAAAGGTGCATAATGATCAATTATGAAAAAGCAACATCAATGAAATTGTTAAAAAAGTGATAAAATATGGACTATGCACGCTTGAATCTAGATAAATCGTGCATATAAAAATTGGTTATTTTTTGTGAAATCAAATTAATAGTATAGATTGTTCCAAAAGTTACCAAATCAAAATTTGTATTCAGATTTAATGATAGTAGTTTCAGTTATATTAATGAAGTCTTCTTACTATTTATCCTAATATATATCTTAAGCACATAACATATGTCAGTGCAATTGCATTTGCCTATTGCATCTTTGGACCTATGTAAGGTACGTGCTAAAGAATAATTTTCTCTGTAAGAATATAAATGAATAAAGTTACATAGTTTAAAAAATTGCTAGATTTAAAATCCGCTAAAACATTCCATTGAGGTTGTGTGCAATAAAATTTGTGATTAGAATAATGCATAATCTAATAGGCCATAATTTGTTGTAAAGAATTTTTGAGCTAATTTACTCTTAAAAGTTACATTTTTTAACTTTTTCTCGATAGTTTTTCTAGATTGCGTGCATTATGCACATGCATGTTGGCTAATAAAATAATAAAAATTTTACAAGTGCATCATATGTTGATAATGGGAAGATTTGACCTGACTTCTTGGACCTAGTTGGCTAGTTGAGACACAGAAAAGGCATACCTCAAGAAAACTAGATATTTATATAGAGCATTGAAGAAAAACTACAGAAAAATTAACTATACCTTAAAGTGAAAAGTACTGCTGAAACTCTAGATACCTAGTACTATTGCTTCCAGGCTTCTAGCATAGTACTTTCAAGTATTATGCTCAATTAGAATCAGACTCGTGAAATTCTTAGCAAAATATTATAGCTTCTGGAATGGTACTTTTGTGTATTATGCTCAATTAGAATCTTACAGAGCTGGCTGTCAGCTATGTGGCAAAAATAAGCGAGGAAATTGTCAGTATGGAGTATCTCAAGTGCTATATTTGAGTAATTAACATATGGTTGCTCAGATAAAGTTTCAGATATCCTAAACTTGTATTACCCACTGAGCAAATTAAACATAATAACAGTGCACACAAATCGGAACAATAGATATTGATGTAATCAGGCATGAAGATTTTGTAAAGGTGTCAAAAATGAACAATCTATTTATCTAGGACAAGGAGGAAACTAAGTATAGTGTATGGAAAATAATGAAGGAAGAAGCTGTAAGACCGTTGGTACCAAATATTAAGGAAGCTATGAACATGCAAAGCATAACATACCTAGATTTAATGGTCTTTCCAGCAAACTCCAGCAGACTCTCACCGCACAAGAAGTCCCCCTGTAGATAGAACTCAATATTTTGCAAGAGCGAGCAGATCTCCTTGACCATTTTCTGTTTCAAATTCTCCTCAAAGCTTACTGCAATCTTTGACCGTAGCAGCTCCATTCTAAACAATATCTGCAGCTCATGCCTGATGTAAGTTAAGGAATATAACGATTTACAATTCTGGCGTAGACAACTGAGAAATAGAGAAACAAGAATATTAAGAGGATACTGTCGGATTATGTTCTCTGTACTGTAATTTGCTGGAAATTCTCTTAATGTTGCAGATTCTGAATTGGAGCTTCTGTGCTTCACCAATAAATCCTTCGGTTTCATTAAAAGAAGGCGAGAAACTTCAGAACGGACATTCATTTCAGAACAGTCGTCTAATTCCTTGTTTACAGAGTTATTGATCTCATTGTTTGCAAATTTAGCATATAGTGCATCAATAGACCAACTAACCAGTCGTTTAGCCAAATTCCACAAATCTACTTCCTTTGAGAAAGTTCCATGCTCAATCTTCTGAGGGATACTTTTGAGGAAAGCTTCCCAGTGTTCTTTGCAGGAAAATGATAAAAACTCCTGGTTTAAAGGCAAATTATGATTTTGCCCTCGATCAGGAGAAGAGGAAGCATTTAAGTTAGGCTCTGGGTCTGGTCCATCAAGCCTCTCTTTCACTTCCTCATTAACACTCAGAGGTGTCTTCGGTTCATTTGGTTTAATTTGGCAATAATCACTTGATTTCTTCATCTCCCTCATCCAACATTTCAAAAAAGACAGCTTCTTTGATTTGGTATTTTTGGTGGCAAAGTACATTTCTTCCAGATCCATCTCTGGAGCACAATATTCATCTTGCCTAAACACTGCTTTGTAGAATGTACTCCAAGTAACATCCTGCAGCAGATGTCCGTCCATTTTGTTTCTTTTCCTTCTCCCGTACTTAGTTTTAGATGAATCAGCTATACCACTATCAAATGTTTTAGACGCCTCTTCGCCCGCTAATTGACATGAAACTACATTGTTGTTCTCCGTAACGCCGAGCAGCGCATAGTTAACTGTGAATGGCTTTAGAACACCTTTAAGAGAGTTTCCATCGCTATCAGATATAGAGACTGAAGCCCAGTAATTCTTTCTAAAGAGGAATGCCAGGAGAAGCTGCCAGAAGGGCTGTTCTACCATAAACTCGCCCTTTTCCATACAACAAAGCAATTCAAGAACCCTGTCAACAATGCACTCTCTTTTAGGATCTCCTGCCTCTTTCCCGGAATCACTAGAAATTCCTCGCAATAGAACAATCCAGTCAGAATAATCAGACACTTGCGCCCACTCATCTCTCCTCCTGACCTCACTAACTCGAATCTTCACAAGTCCACCCCCATTAATCTTTTCCGAGAAAAGGGCCCAAAAGTCTGGCCTTTCCCTTGCCAATTTCAGCTGGACCACCTCCAGGCAGCAACTTTTACATTCTAAAGGCTTTCCATGGGCATCAGTAATCCCAAGAACCAAATCGGCTCGACCTTTCCTGGTACTACGACCAGAACTGAGACATCCCAGTTTACACCCCATATACGGAAATATCAGCCCAAATGGAACCAAAGCAGAGCCCACAAGAATGGCGTCCTCGGAACAAAAACCCCAGCCCAATTCCCTAATCCCCCTTTTGAGGAACCCTAGCTCGCGCTCTTCATCAAAGTTCATGCCAATCCAACTAAAATGAATATCTCTGGACAAGAATCTCTCATTTACCGGACCGAAAACCCTAGCGAAGCTGGCGAAAAACCCATCAAAATCCCGACTTTGGAGACCCAGGGTGTCTCCGTAGAGGGGCGAGAAGAGCAACACTAGATTCGAGCAAGGGGATTGAGGGG